TGCAGTAGAAAGACAAGGTGGTGCTGTCAGCAGCAGGGTTTGCTCTCAGTGCAGTGTGTGGTGGCCAGGCTCCCAGCTTGTGGGAGGTGACAACTCCATCTTTGTGTGTCCTTCTCGATGTGTGACAGCTCCGGGCTCCTGAATCTGTGCTGGGCCTGTTCAGGGATATTTGGATGTGGTTTTTGCTGATTTTGGTGCCTTTTTGCGGATTTTGGATTGCTCAGTCCTGCATTACAGCTGATGGAACTATGAGTAGGACAGGGGCGTTAGGATAAATCATAAGATACTTCTGAAGTGTATTGATTGCTGGCAAACTGTTGAAGCAAACAATTTCTTCTGGAAATACCATGGTCTAAAACCACTTTAAAATAATGCTGCAAGGGAGATTTAAAGTGTGCATTATGATGGCTAGAGTCATGTTAAAATATTTATCTGCCGCTATTCTTAAATTCATTAAAAACTTAATCTGATTCTTATGATACAGTAAGTCTCAAGTGACTAATCTGACAATTACACGCTTCCTAATGAGTAGTCTGAACATGACTGACCTTGCAAATACTTTGGCTCACAAAAGAAGTACTTTATGTTGGTAAATTCCTTTTCCCCAAATTTCAGTGGGAAATATTAATTCTGCCTATGACTATGCGGGAACAGGAAACAAAAATGAACGTTAATACTGAAAGGGTCTTGCACAAAAACTACAATAGCTTGTTAACTAAGATTGAGCATCATCCTCCCCCACTGTGAGCACATCAGTTAATCATAGTAAGCATTACTCAACTTCATTTGGCATCAGTAAAATTTCAGATGTAATCCAAATATCAGGATAAATCTTTCACTAATTTGATGAGAGTATAATTTTAATAGTAGTCTTCTTCTTTAATTCACCATAGCCTCTTGTAGAGCTGGGGAGCAATTAAAATGTTGGTTGTGTTATAAAGAATTCTTTGGACTACATTGATGTTGACCACTTACAGAGAGAGTTAAACAGCTAGAGAATCTTTGCCTTAAAAATAATTTTTTTAAAAAGTGCTTTTGACAGGGAGGTTATAACAAGATACAGCTCTTGTAAGATTAGCCAGTACAAATGACCATAGCTGATGATTTCTCCAGTGACAAGCCCTGCTGCTTTGCAACTCTGACAAATGCACTGCACAAAAAGTATTCCATCTGCTGCAAGCAGTGCTTTTCCTCTGTGCTGCACGCAGCAGTCAAATCCATGTAAGTTGTGGTCTTTTTTTCAGCTGGACTGACAAGGTGATGTTTGAGAATTCCCCCTTTTGGAGTGTTGCCATATCTACTTAGTGGGAGCTTGCAGATTTTCCCCATCTGCTCAGAGTTTACCCTATTACCTGATAAATACTTTAGAGCACACAGTGGACATATCCTGCTTCCAAGACCTCCTCCAGTCTGTTCATACTAAACTGTCCTGTAAGCTTTCTGTGGCACATTTCACTGCAATATATTCACTGGATCTGTCTGCCCTTGTAAGGCAGGCAAATCCTATGAAAGTAGGTAACTGATATAGAAAAATAAATGCTCTAGATTTTTAGATCTTACTAAAGAGTGGGGATTTTTTAATAGCAAAAGAATGATTCCAAAAATTACAGTTGTTTACAGAAGGGTTACATTCTGCCATCTATCTTTGTGCAGAAGTCCCATTGGGGTCTCTCAGCAGGCTACTCCCAAAACACAGATGTTTCTGGCTATTCATTCAGAGTCTTAATTCTGCTGGATGCTTCTTACTCTCTAGCTTTTGTTACTGGGAGATTGTTAAAATATAAATGTTTCTTTTTGTTACTACCACCAGTGCTGTCTCCGAAGTTACCTAACAAAATGTCTGTATATCTGCCACTGGGTGGTGTATGCCTTGTATAAGTAAAACTTACTAAAGTAAACTATCAGAGTTTTGTATAAGTGGAACTTCCAGATCAAACCCAAAAGCCTCCATGTCTTTTTTTTTTTCCTAGAAAATTTCCCTGGAGTTTATCAAAGAAAGAAACTCCAGGACTTGGCTAGTAAAAAGAAGGAGGTGTATATACATCCATGTCCTTGTAAAATTCAACTTTCAATGGGGGAATACAGTGTGTGTTTATATTTTCCTTCTCAGTTCTTGTAAGTTTCCATGCTTTCTTGAGAGCCACCTACTTTTACAAACATGCAAAGGCCCTTAGTGTGTCTGCAGGCATCTTGAATAAATCATAGTTAGCTTTAGGGCATAGTCCATATGCCAACCTCCTAACTTTTTTTTTTTTTTTTAATGTAAAGGAAGATACCATTTTCGACCAGTTCCATGTCATTGATGTTGTTGTTCAAATTCTAAGAACATTTGTAGAACCTTTGTGGAGTAGCTTTTGGTAGGATAGCAAAATTTCTTTTTGTTAGGTGGCACAAGCTGTGCTGAGCCAGGACTTGGGGCATTGTAAGCTGCTTGTGCTTTTGTTTCACTGAGCATTTTATATCAATAGGCTGATAACATGTTCATAACCCACAGGTTTGACTGTCCAAAGCCAGCTCTAGTTAAGTCACTGAGGCTGAGCAATTGCTGAGGCTTTCAGAATAAAGAGAAACTGCAGGAGGAAAAGGAAAGGAAACCTTTTACCTTCCACTGCTTTATGCATACCCTCCAATTCAAGTTGAATCAGTTCTATTGGTTTCTTCATTACCTAGCAGCTCCTTATAAATATCAAAAGGCAAATTGTAATCCTAGTATGAGCATCCTGTAAAATTTTTATAGGTTAAGTCCAGTCAAGTATAAAAACAACTTCTGATTTCATCCCTTTAATTTGCTGAGCAGTCCGGAAAAACTACTAAGATAGTGAAATTAAGTCTTCCCTGTTTCTATATCCACATACCAACTTTTGCGTGGGGATGCATAGCAATTCTATGAAACCCATTGTGTTATCTTTTTGAGGCAGCAAAAGTTAAATTAGTGCTGGAAAGGTTCCTTCATGCAATAGCAGTGGGGTGCAGGGGGGAGATATTTGATATTTAAGAATATCCACGATTTATGACTGGAAAGATCTCAACAAAATCCAACAATATCCCACAGCTCTGCCTGTTGCCTTATGCTTTTTGGTCTTGTAGGAAAATTTACACATAAAGCAAACAAGCTCCCAAGCACAGTTTGAAAAAAAGAAGGAACTGAGTTGGCTTGAAACTCAGTAAAATTCTTCTAGAGCCTGAAACTCTTACAAGAGTTTCTACTGACTAAAGCTGATATGTATGTCCAGCATAAGAGGCAATGGATGGAAAAATTTTAAGACACCAGAGTGTTTGGTCTCTGTATCAGTAATAGCCATGTAATGCCCATTCTATAGACTTTGGTAGCAAAGGTCCTCTCTGCCTCTGATGATATGGAAGAATTACTGCAAACTTTTCACTGAAATGTGCCTCTTGTAGCTGTTGGCTTTCTCTTCACTGCCATTTGGAAGTGTCTGAATCAGAAGATGTTAATGAAGACCCAGTTTTTTCTAGCTGAACTGACATAAGATAATACATGGAGGCTAAACAAAACACAAGAGTTGCAGACTGTTACCTTCTGTGCCTGAGCTGGCAGTGAATTATGAACAAAGCAGGTTAGGAAATTAAGTGACCCAAATTACAATAGAAAAGAGTTCAGGCACTCTGGGTGTCACCTTGTGCAATGTGAGACAGGAGAATAATGTCTTTTCCTGAAGACTGCGAGATGATGTGGAGATGTGGCAGTGGTGCACCTGTCCTGAGTGCTATGAATGATGCTGCCCCACCTGCACCTGCCCCAGCAGGACCTGCTGGCTCCTGATGCTCTGTGCTGCTGTAGTGTGAATGGCTAGGCTATTTTTGGACATAACGAAATCAGGATGGAGGTTATTTTTCAGTACTAACTACTTTCTTCAGTCTGTCTGGGTGGTGAGCAGAGAGATTTTCTGACTCCTCTCAGAAGTTTTGGAGCTACCAAGCTCAACTGAGTGTTTCATTAGCACGCATATCCTACTAAGTTCAAAGGACAGGTGTAATACCATATTGTTTGATAGAGATTTTCCCATTCATCCTGCATTCCTATTTTCACAGGAAGCAATTATTTTATGCTACAAGTGTGACCTATTAGCCTTTATCACCAGGCAACCACACTATCACTATATCCATACATGAATACCTTTCAGAATGTGCTTTCTCTCTCTCTGTTCTATCTGTGTGGCTCACTGTTCACACACCGTTCTCCATCTGCCAGGCAGGGTCTGTTCTTTCTGCGTGTGATTTGAGAGCACCCCAGGCACCTGCCCGGCTTGCAGATGGTGTTACTCCATCACAGGCTGGAGTCATCACTGACAGCACGGTGTACTTAGGGAGATGAAAGAGGATGATGGAGTTCAGGTCTTAGTGAAGACACGCCAGACAATCTGAGCCAACTATAGTTACTGTGTGTAATTCTTTGTTTCTGTCATTGCCAAACTGTGCAGGAGGTGAGGTTTTGTTTGTAATAAGTCTCCTACCTACTTTGGAGGAGGGGAGAACCCCCACACTGCAGAACCGAAGGCAGAAATCACAATCCTACATTAAAACTGCCCCCCCGAAACCTATCGTGGTCTGGCGCCAGCTCTTCTAGATGCTGTTTTTCTGCTTGGGCGTTTTTGGTTTGGCCTTTTTGCCCCCCCTTCCTCTCGGTGCTATTTTTTGCGAACGAAAAAAAGTGTTCGGCAGCCTGGAGTGGCAGCAGAAGGCAAATACGCCTGTACTGAAAAACTAAGTTAAACTTCGAGGAGTGTGCGAGCGATCGCTGCCGGGAAGGGGCAGCGCGGTGCCCTGGGGGCCGCGGCGGGTCCGCGCTGCCCGGGAGGAGCGGGGAGCGCTGGGGAGCGCGGCGGTGCCTCGGTCCTGTCTCGGGCACCGGGCACCGCGCCCGGCACCGCGGGGTGAGCCCGGCTCCGGCTTCCCGCACAAACTCCGCCAGCAGGAGCGGGATGCCGCTCTCGGGGCTGTGGGGACGGGGAAAAAGACCTCGCAAGCGCTTCTCTTACCCCCTCCATTTTTGTAGCAGAGGTATGGAAATCGCCAGACGTTGGCCAGGTCCACGGCGAAGCCGATGACGGAGAGGAGGAAGTCGATCTTCTTGCCCCAGGTCTCCCTGTCCTGGGTGCCGTAGCGCGGCGCGGGGGCGGCGGGCAGGAGGCTGCTGCTGGTGTACTGCACCCCGTTGTGCTCCTTCACCAGCAGCAGCTCCACGTCCTTCTTGGGCGGCGGCGGCGGCCCCGCGCGGTCCGGCAAGGGGGCCACCACCGACACTTTGCGCTCGGGCTGGACCTGTTTGTTCATCCTCGCCTTAAACATCCAGAGAGAGCGAGCTGAGGAGGGGGCGCGCAGATAACGGAAGTGCGCTTCCCGCTGGAGGCGACTCCGCGCTCAGCCCGGCGCTGTCAGCGCGGCGGGAGCGAGGCACGGCCGTAATAAGAGCCATGCAAATGAGGCGGGAGAGGGGGGACCGCGGCGCCCGCGCCCGCCGGCGCGCCCCCGGGGAGCGGGGCTGCCCGCGCCTCCTGCCGCCGGGAGAGCCCGCACCTGGGGCCGCCGCCCGGAGCCCCGCGCTGCTCCGAGCCCCGCACCTGGGGCCGCCGCCCGGCCCCGACCCGCGCCCCGCGCCGTCCCTGGTGCCCCGCACTGCCCGGAGCCCCGCGCCGTCCCTGGTGCCCCGCACCGCCCGGAGCTCCGCACCGCTCCGAGCCCGCACTGCCGCTGGTGCTCCGCACCGCTCCGAGCCCCGCACGGCCCCTGGTTCTCCGCCGAGTTACTCAGGTGGGCTCCGTCCTGCCGCAGGTTACGGCGTGCTCGGGGCTGCTGCTTCCCGCCAGGCAAAACGCGCATCCCTAGTGCAGGCAGCTGAAATTGCCCTTAGCAGGCAACAGGTAGAGCCTGCTTGGATTGCCCACTTCCCTTCTTTCTCGGCTGTTTTCCCTAGTTCGCTAGTGTGGCTTTAGAATTTTGGGCTTTTGACATCAGAACCCGGCGGGATGCAGGCTGCACGGCAGAGCTGGACACTGCCAATGCTCCTATGCCAGGGCTGATGGATGCCCAGCTTCTTTCATGGCAAGTATGAGGCTGGTAGAATTCAGTTGTCAGGTTGAGGCATTTGTGGGACATTAGCTATTTGCTGCTATTCCAGGTGGAACCCGAGTCTTTTGCATGTAAAATGGACAAAGAATTAGCTGGCAGAACAGTGATTGATGTCAGAAGTTGGCTAAATACAGCTGCAGAAAGGGGTTTTCAGGGACTCTTCTTGTTACAGCTGTGAATAGTAACTCTACACTCCTTGTCAGTTAAGGGAATAAAATTTGTTCATAAAAGACAGAAACCAGCTTTCTCTCCCCAGTATTGAATAGCTTCCCTTCTGCCTGGCATCAGTGAGAGCAGGTCAAGTCACGGAGGATTCTTGAAGGTGTTAACAGCCTACCATACTTATTTATTCTGCTAGGGCTGACAAAACACTATTACATACATTGTAATACATAAAGAGTCAGAGTTCATAAAGAACACCAGATTTGTCTGCAAACTTGGAATGTGAAAAAGAATATTGCCTCAGAGTTAAAGTTCACATATTGGCATCCTCCCCATCTCTCTTTAGGCCACAGACTAAAAAGATGCTAGCAGGACAGCTACAACATACAGATTTTATTCCTTGACAAAAAACACTTGGTCCAAGCTCTGATTTGAATCCTAAAGCTTTCATTTGGGTGAGGTATGTGAGCAGTGGCTATCCTGCTCTAAAGCGCTTGGGTGCTTAGACCATGCAGCTCATATGTTCTCTTTTGGTTACTCTGTGGCTTTTTTGTCCTCGTCTCTTTCCAATACACCACACAAGACTTTTTCTCTGCTTTTTGACACTCCATGCCATATGTGCTGTAATTCTGCATGACTATTCCATGGTGCCCTCTGAGCTGCTTTCCTGTGCAGTGCAGCCCACGGGATCGTGCTCGTGCGCAGCTGCGCTGCTGCCTCCTCCTTGCACCACCCATCAGTCACTGCACCACATGCACCAAATGCACCAAACACAGACCCTGTGCCATGCACTGCCCCCAGGCAGGCCCAGCTCACCTGAGTTTGAGTCTGCACCCCCATTCTCCCACAGCAAATAAAGGACACGCTCTGTTTCAGACATAAGGCAGCCTCTGCTCTCAGCTGCACAGCCCTGAAGGCATCTTGCTGACAAACTCACCAGGCAGCACTGGGGGTGTCTCTGTCCCATTCCCTGGTACCTATGGGGAGAAGGTGACTGAAGGGGGATTGCTCCTTCTTGGTTCCACCACTCAGGGGCTGCAGTCTCTCTGGGAGCTGAAGATGTATCCTAGCCAGTAAGGAGCTTTTTAAACCTGGTTCCCCTCTCTCCACGTGACAATTACTGCCTTAATGATCTGCACAGACTTCCTACGCTAGACAGAGGCACTCCTGTATTGCTTCTGGAAAAAGAGGGCCTTGCTAAGGAACACCCTTTTCCCCACAAGGTCTCAATTAGCTGAGCTTGATCATGATGTCTGTGGTGGGAGGAATCTAGAAAGCCCCCGCTTATTTCCTAAGAGAATTAAGTCACTCTGCCTATATATATATATACACACACACACATATATCTATCTCTCTATATATACACACATACACCTGTATATCTATATATGCCTTTAGTTCTTGCATGGAAAGTGTGCACAATCTGGTTAATGTAATATCCGCTGCACCCTCAAGGTAAGAAAGTCCTCAATTGGATTTTATGAAAAAGTTGCTTAATTTTGAATCTGTCTGGATCTTGTTATGCCTAATGTAGCCTGACAGTGGGTAGAGTTGAAGTCAGAGAAGAGAATATTGTATTTAGAAGCCTCAGTGGGGCCAGGCAAGATGGCAGGGTGCTAGTGATATGCCACTCTTGGCTGGGAAACAGGTTGTAATTTACTCCAGGAAACAGTCAGGTATTGCTGGGTTAGTCTCAATTATTCAAATACTTGTCTGTCACTCCTTGCCATGTATGGGAGAATATACTGTGTGCTGTATCAGTAAACTGAGGCTGTCACTCACACATTAGTGTCTAGGAAGAAAAAAACCCAAAGAACAACAATTCTGTGTGTGCCTTCAGAGCTCCATTTGCTGGTGGTGTGAAGGCTCACTGTGCTTGCTGGCAGCAGGGTTTGAATTCCCCAGTGCTGGCAGCACAGCCCTGTGCCACTGACACTACAGAACTACAGGAACTGCCTGCAGTCCTTCCCATGAACGTAGGAACATCTTCTGGGAAGGGTGGTACCAAATAAACAGTGTTCAATTATGCTGGAACTTGCAGTTTACTGTTGGTGCATCTGTGAGAGTCTTGCCTCATGAAGTGTCTGATACACTTTGTGCAAGAGCTTGGCTGATGAGCCAAGCAAAACAGTAATGGAGAGAGAATATAATTGTTTTGTAAGTAAATGGAGGTAAATGTCACTGAGAAAAAACCCCACCACTGTTTAAACCAAAGGAATCACAATAAATTTAGTGGGAAAATGGAAAGAGTTCTAGCTGTCAAAGCAGTGAATGCAATGGGAACTGAAGACTTGGGTTTGGGATTGTTTTTTTTTTTATGAGTTGATTTGTATGACAAAGTTGGTTTGGACTTGAAGACTTGGGGCATCAGTTTCTTATTATAATCCAAGATACAGTGAGAAAGTTAAAGGGGAAATGGCTATATGCACCAAGTAATTAATTTAATGTCCTGGTAAATTCACAGAAACTCATTCTGGCCTTCAGGCTCACCAGTGCTAAGAAAACTAAACATTTTTCAAACAAAGTGCATAAGTTGAATGAAGTTAGGTTTGGTTTTCTGTAATAGAAGAAACTTGAGGAATAGCCAGTTGCTGCAGGAACAGAGAACAAAGCCTTCTGACTAAATCAATGGTAAAAGGATTTCACAGTGGTAGGAACATGGCATTGGCAGGGGTGCCCATCTTTCTAGGTTAGCAGGTAAAGGATGCCATGCCATGGACTTTACTGGGCATCTTTTAATGACAGGAGATATATCAGCCCCAGCTTCTTGAACTTTTAAGAGAGGGTTGGGCAGGTTTGCTTCACAGTGTCTCTAAAATCACAATGCCATTCCAAATGCAATGTTTATTTAGCATTTAAAACTTCCGTGTTTTATTGTTTGCAGGCTGCTGTCATATTATCTCTCCCCTAGAGCTAAAGAAATGAATCTCTTTCACTGAGAAGGGTTTGTTTGGGTTGGTCCTACCCTGCATTTTGACAGTGTCTGTCATGTTACAAACTGTCTTCAGACTGAAAATAAATATTACAGAAACACTTCACAGTATTTTAGTATTCTGTTCATGCAAGAATGAACAGAATCTAGGGGAAGACAAGGCTTCTCCCTGTTTCTCATAATAGTAGCTTTTGTAACTTCCTTATCAAATTGCCCGAGATTGTCATGAATACACACCTTCAAAGCACCTTTTACCTGGGATCATATGACCTGGCACCAGATGACAAAAGCATCAGTGTGACCCAAGAAAGCTGTCCCATGGCATCTTTACAATTTTCTAATGTATAGAATATGTGTGTGTGGAGAGGATGACATTGGAGTCCAGGAGTTTTTACCCCTCATAATGACACCACTGCCCTTCTCTATAGGCATAATTTTTTCACTTTCCTTTGACCTCTTTCCAGTTTACTCGCCCTTAGTATCTTTTAAAGATTTAAATCTCCTTTGGAACATTTCACAGAGTAGTTAAGTTTCAGCTTCAGCATATTCCTTCTTGCTACCTGTTCTGGATCACCAGCCCCTGGTGCTGCTTTAGCACCAGGCTCATTCTGTCTCAGAGATAGCTGCATGAGAGTGATTTGCAAAGCTGCATCTAGGTGGGGTGGAACTGGGGGCACTCCCAGTTTCAGTCTGACTGTGCATGAGGGGCACTCCTCCCTTATCTTGGCTTGGGGTGCACTCCTCCCTTATCAGGGTGCAGGGTCCCAAGGGTGCAGGGTGCAAAGGGAGCCAGAGCACCCACTGAGCTCATCTCTGCTTTGAACAGCAGGAGAACCAGCACAGTTGGGTTCACCATGTTATATATCCATGTAATCTTTCTCTCTTCTGGTTGGACTAAACCTTTCTTGAGCAAAAATGGCCTAGATTTTAGATGAAGTCTTACCAACCTTTAGTGAAATAGTAATAATTCCCAGGACTATCAGCCAAGATTCTAATGAGAAGGAGATCTCACTTGCCTTTTTCACATCTGTACCAAATGTCTGTCCACAGACAGGCTATAAACATCCAAGACATTCTTCTCTGTTACTTCTCTAATTCTAAAAGACCAGGTTTATAATTTTATTCTGTTTGTTTCCCTCCCATCTCTGTTATGCTAGGTTTCCTTTTTTTTCCCTGTGTGAGTCCCATTCTTCACTGATTAAATGTTGCCTGCTGACTTCATCATCTCCAAATTTCATTAGCAAACACAAACTTTTGGGTGCATATTATTAATGCAAATATTTAATAAAATCATTCCCACTAACAGATCTTTCAAGATGGGTAATCTCACTCCAAGCCTGTAATTATCCTTACAGCACAACATAGTATTATATCCTCTTTAGTCAGTTCCTTTCCTGTCTTAACAATTCTATTTATCTCCATGTCTTCTACTCAAACTAACAATTACAAATGTCATTGTAACAGCTACTTTTGTAAAGTCGTGATAGATTAATATCTACCTCATTTTCCTTGCTTTTATAAAAGGCAGTTATGAGAAAAAGGTATCAGATTAATCTGTCTTCCTTTGGGAAGCTGGTTTTGCGTGTAGGAGTTTTCTGTGCTTATACACCTGTGGGTAGAATTAGTGAAAAGTGTTTTAATTTGGGAGCTCCATGTGGTCAGAGCATTATTTGCATCTGCCTAAATCAAGGTTTTTTTAAGATACTTCATCATTTCTGTCATCTGCAGACCCTGAACAAGACACCTCACTTGATGTCCAAAGCTAGACTGGGAGATGACCCAAAATATCCAGTGATATAAAAATTTGCTGAATTTCTTATGATCCTAAGGTGATTTTTAACTGCACCGCTGATGGCCAGGTGCTGGGTATTATTTCCCTCCTGTTGAAAAGACTAAACAAAAAGCCAGAAGCAATCTGTTCTTTCTTGCTGGGAGGACCTGTCCTTTCTTTTGCTGCCAGTCTCTTGCTGATATCGCTGCTTGTACAGCAAATAAAATATGTCCAATTGTGCAGGCTGCAAAAAAAGACTGAGATTGAGCTTGGTATCTTGCTTAACTAAAAATAAGTTTAATACAGGCTACTGGTCTTGGGTTTATTGTATACTATACTAATCATTGAACATTCAAAGCCAATCTTTATGTAGCCTCATTCAGTTTAAAAGGGATCATGCTCCTATATCTGAAGGCACAATAGGATGAATTATTTTTCCAAATGCAAAGCAGCTGATTTCACTGGTTTCAATAAAGTCCAAACAAACAGTGAAAACATTTAAATTACTAATGGTTGGTGCTTTCTACTAGGCCAAATATTTGGGATCAAATTTCTTCCTTTGGTACAGAACCAGAACCCTCTGTGGCCAGTGAGAATATGTTAAAAAGGAGATGTGGAAATAAAAGCCTCACTTATCTAAGTCCTGTTTCTAATTTTTGAGAATTCTCATTTTCTAAGAGTACTCAGAAACAATCAAATTATGCTAAATAAAGTTGCTTTTTCACTAAGAGAATGTGTGCAAGCAGAGGTTCACACTACATTTGCCCAAGGTTTACACTATGGCTGTATCCACATCAGAAATCTGTTGTGCTGGGTGCTGGACATCCACAAGGACAGAAAAAAGTTAGAGTCACCTAATCTACCTAGAAGCAGTGAGCTTGAGAGAAAGATCATTGTGGCTGTCAGTGGTCCTAAGGCAACTCATTTCCTTAAGCTTCTGATACCATGAGTCCATGTCTTTGAGACAGAAACACAAAAATCCAGTAGCTAATTAAAAGTAGTCTCCTCTAAAACATGGAAAAAGACCAATTATTTATTTCTTTTAGTAGAAAATGAATCTCTAAAAATATAAACTTTTGAAAGGATTCAAGTCTTGTAATGGGTATTAGTTGAAGAGCAAAAAATAGTTTCTCCCCAAAGCTTAAGAGCTTTTTGTATGTTTTGCCTTATGAAAATTTACACATTCATCTTACAGGTGTCTTCACCTCATGTATAGGTTTGAGTGGGTTTTACCTGCCTTTACTGTCCAAAACCTTTGCAGTTC